CAGTGCTGTCCCGCCCCTCCCCCCCCCCCCAGCAGCTTTTAGGAAGACTGATCAAAGTAGGGTCTCATTTAGTTAACTTACTCTTAACCACTTCTATCTTGGCAGCTTACCTGAGGGCTTCATATTTTACCTGTGGAAACAAAGAACAGTTCGTTCCAGAGCTAATTTCTTTTTTTAAGTTCTATGGATTGATAAGACTCTTGCCATTTAATTCTCATGCCACTTTAAAACTCTTGATATCAATTTTCTGAAAAAAAAAGTTTAAGACTTCTGAAAGCTTTGAGCCCTGATTGTTTTAGGGGAAGAAAACAGATCAGATACTGTAAGAAGAACGAAATTAAGCTTTTGTTCTAGCAACTGTGGAAATAACAGAAAATACTCGTGAATTTGCAATGGGGAAGAAGTATAGCAGATCAAAAAGCACAATGTCTGGGGTTCTGAATACCTGTCACTTATATGACTGTCCAAGAGAATATGCTGCTGGGGTTATTTGTGTTTGTTAGGACTGCATTAAAACTCATTGGGCTATTGTTCTTTAGAGGCATGAGTCAAGCAATCTAATATGTTTACTGGAGCCTAGTAACAAGTCATTTCACTACCATTAGGCAGAAACAGTCTGCCTTCTTGCATTCTGAAGTGCGGACCACTGATCCGTAGGAGAACAGAGGCTACAAGTCACTTGAAGAACCCACTTTAAGGAAGTAGTATAAGAGTTGTGCAGTAGAAACTGTTGAAAGTTTAGAGAGTCAGAGCTGCAACTCTGCTAAGCTTTTCATTGTCTCCTGCAGTAACTTGTTGAGGAACATGAATGTTCAACAACATTCTTGCAGCCATCAATAGGGGATAAGAGTTGTTCAGAGCAGCTAGTTGTTTCTGTAGTTGGCACAGCAGACTGGTTTCAAGATTTTGGGGAGTAACAGTGTTGGCAGTAGGGTTTTTGTTTTGTTTTGAAGTTACCAGCTGTTCTCAGTAATCTCTAAAGCTATTTTAGTGTTTTGGTTTCATTAAGTTTAGCTTGGCAAAACAAAAAAAGCATCTTCAGTGGCTGCATCTTTTTAATAATTTAAAAGTTTATAAGGAAAAAAATCAGTTTGGACAGCAGTTGCAATCTGGTAGAAGGTACACACTGAAGCACTTTCTAAAAATTCCACAGCTGACTTGAATACATTCTTGGGTTTTGCTGACAGTAGATTCCTGAAAGTTAAGATTTTGAGTACTAACAGATTTTAAAGAGCTAACAGCTGAAGTTAGTATTGTACACTGATCTATTCTAAATTAATGGATGGTGTGAACTGGAAACATCTCATTTAAAAGGCTTACTTATAAAATGCTAGTAAGTGATTTACCATTTTGTAAGAAGAAAGCGTATTGTTAAAAGTAAGTCACATACTAAACAGTGTAAATTGTAGGGGGGATGAGTTAAGTGGGAATTAACTGATTCTACAGTTAGTTTGTAGTTCCATCAGTGTTAAAGGCAAGTCATACATATATCTTGTTCTGACAGACTAAGAATTTATTTCAAACCTTTTCACTAGGTTCTCTTAACATAGAAGAGGTAGTCACAATTTCTTAGATTATGCTTCTAGAAGTAAGAGTACATTTAGATGGTGGTTTTAATCAAATCATGGAACATACTCCCTTTCAAGATAAGCGAGTTTTCTTGGCAAGTTGATTAGCAACTTGTTTCTCCAGTTTGGCAGCAGGATAAAAGCAACATTATAGCAGTTTCCTTTTAA